AATATTAATAATAATTATATAATAAATTTAATAAAATTAAAATTTATACTATATTTTATATATTTAATGATTTTAATTAAATATTTTTACACTTAAAATACCATGATATCATAATTTTTATTTTTATATTTTATAATAGAAATTAAAGAATAAAAAAGTGGCTCTAAATGAATCAAGCATTCGATGAAAGGAGAAAGGTAAAATCAAAGTACAAAAAATAAAATAGTTCACGGTTTTGTAGTTTGAATTACCTCAAAGACCATTAGATGGGGGAAAGGGATGCTCCATCTGATAGTTTTTTTTGTTTTTTTTTTGCCGACATCCCATTTTATAGTTAATTTTGTGCAATTTGGATTGAATAGAACATTTCTAAAAATAAAAACTCCGAGGGCTTAAAAATGGTTTTTCCAAAGTTTATGTAGTTAACACTAATAGGCTCGGCCAACCTCTGCAAATCCTGGATTCCGAAGAGGTCTTCAAGAAAATTGGGCCGTTTACTAGCGTTGACCGCTACTATTGGGACTGAACTTTAGGCTCTTAGACGTGGGCTCAGGCTTACCATTTCTTAGGTTTCCCTTTAAATCAATTCTCTTTTCTTTTTTTTTTTTTCTCATCTCACTATGCACTCTTCTTTCCCAAATTTCTTTCATTATCTTTGTTATAAGTTGCATTGCTGAAAAGAGCCTGTTAACTCCAGTTTGAATGTTTCAGATTCACTGCTCCTTGGGTCCTAGTAGTTTTGGACTTTTCTTGTTTTTCCTTTACTTTTTCTTTTTATTAAATCCAATAATTTTATTTTTTGCACCCCCTTTTTCATACATTACAAGGTAAGTTACAACTTAAACTCTAAAGAACAAGGCCCCCAAACTTTTTTCCTTTTAAGAACATGCTTATGCCAGCTAGTGGAACGGAGTAGAAAGTTGTGCCCGGAGGTGATGCAAGCCCAAGAGTTTTATTGGATGACTACAGATAAAGCAATTTACGAGTCCTCATAAAGTTAGTCCATTTACGAGTCTAAATATATCTGTACTATTTTAAAAGGAACAAAAGATAAAGAAAAAAGGGAGAAAATGGGATAAAAAAAAAGGAAGACAGGGGGCTCCACGATAATATAAATACAATTACTCAAACAGGTGTGCCTCGTTTTCGAATATTCTCTTGAATTTGGGATGATTCCATCATAGAAATACTATGCAGCCGATATGGATTAAAATTATTGATGAGGATTGAGGAATGGGACTTCCTATATGTGGGGTGGTGTCTCTTTTTATTAATGGTTATAATTTTATAATTTAGTATAATTAAAAAAGTAAAAGTTTCAAATAATAATACAAAATTTGTCATTTTTTTTATTTAAGAATATAAAATTTGTAATTTTTTAAATCAGATAATAAATTTTTATTTTTTTAATTTAATGAGATAAACTTTTCATCATTTTATTTAAGGATTCAAATTTTGCTTTATTTCGATTAAAATTATTATTTATTGTATCTTTATCACTATTTAATAAATCTTTAAATAAGAAAAAAAGGTAAATTTTGTATCTTTATTTTTAAAAAATGAAAGTTTATTGCATGATTGAAAAATTCGAAATTTTCATTTTTTCAATTAAAAGAAATAACGAAGTTTCCATCCTTATCAATACCCTTTCTTGTGGCTTTAAATGAATCATATAGTCCATGAAAGGAGAAGGGTAAAAACCAAAAGTAAAAGAGGACGTGGTTTCGCAGTCTAAATTGCTTCAAAGACCATTAGTTAGGAAGAGAGCATCCCCTATTCGATAGTTAATTTTATGCAGTTCAAACAAAGAAAATACATTTCTAAAATTAAAAAATCTGAGGGCTTAAAAATGGTTCTTTCAGAGTTTATGTGGTTAACGCTAATAGGCCTGGCCAACCTCTTCCAATCCTGGATTTCGAGGAGGCCTTCAAAGAAATTGGGCCACTTAGTGGACAATTATTGGGGCTGAACTTTAAGCTCTTAGACGTGGGCTTAGGCTTGCCATGTTTTTATTTTTTTATTTTTCGGATGAAACCATGTTTTTGGTTTTTTCTTTCAATTAATTCCTTTTTTTTTTTTTTCATTTAACTATGCACTCTTCTTTTCCAAATTTCTTTCATTATCTTTAAGGTGTATCAATCAATAAGAGCTTGTAACTAGTTCAAAAGTTTCAGATTTACTAAGTCTTGCGTCCTAGACTCCTAGTAGTTTAGGATTTTTTTCTTGATTTTCCCTTTAGGTTTTTTTTTTTTTTAGCCAAAGTAAAGTTTTTTTTTTTTTTTGGAAAGGCATCCAAAGTAAATGTATTAAGTTCAATAATTTTGTTTTTCCTTTAATTCACTTTTTTTAAATTAAGTGCCAATAATTTTTTTTTGAATTGTATAGTAGAAGACAATTCTCTTTTAATCTTTAATTCACTTCACTTGCATATGATGCAATTTGAATTCAATTGAACTCAATACTTTTTACTTTCATAGCAAACAGATTTCCACTTAATTAGATCATTGGCACTTAAGCATTACAACTTAAGCTCTAAGGAACAAGGCCCCCAAACTTTCTCCTTGTAAGCTAGATAATGCCTATGCCAGCTGGTGGAGCGGAGTAGAAAGTTGTGCCCAGAGGTGATGCATGCCCAAGAGTGTTTGTAAAATCTGCTGCAGCATTACCCTCCCGTAGCAAATGTAAGACAATACAAGAATTGAAAACTTCTAACATAACAAAAATGTCAACAAGCATTACCGAGGCTGCACCCGCAGACATCTTCCTGTCCTGAATCAGTTGCACAGCTAGTTGTGAATCCATTTCAAGTATAAGATGTTTGTATCCCAGGAGAATGAGCCAATCTCAAGCTCTCATGGCAACCCCAAACCTCAGCAATAAAGCTTGAAGTTGTACCAATATGCACCACAAACCATGAAACCATTTCCCACAATGATCACCGATTAAACCTCCTGCACAAGCTGAACCTGATTCATGATCCTTAGAACGTGCCATCAATCAAGGGTGGAACTAGGATCTATTATTTTTTTAATGGAAAGTCTAAGATATTATTAAATAAATAGCAAGTTAGCAACCATATATTTAAGTTATATGCAGTCTAGAAAATAATGAAGTTATCCTATAGCACTAATTACAAAGGAATTGATATGTATCACAAATGAGTCAATTAAGGTGAAAAGATCTCAACTATAACTAAAATTATTGTCAATCATTATAGGTGACATTAACAGACTTACCAAAGTAATAAGGTCACTTTTATGAGTATCTTTAGCCACTAGGTTACCCATTTGTGTCATAATAGCTTCAAATAGAACCATGATTTATTATTGAGTAAAGTTTATTATATTTCTTAATCAATAAAATCTAAAATTAAAAGGCATTGTATTTTTTTTTTTTTTTACTATTTTAAAAGATAACGCCTACAATTACAAAGTTCTAAAATTATGAATATTTTTTGTGAAAGGGATAGGGCCTGTGCTTATTCCTTATCCAACATGGGTTTGCCCCGGCTATCAACTTTCAACTTGAGAAAAGGTGGATCCAGAGGAATCCACCTTACCAAACGAGTTGGTCTAGGAGTGGAATGCTTATTAATTCTTAAGGCAAGCTTAGTTTCTAGCGCAAGATGGCAAGGCTGCCAAGATACAACAGCGCGC